CTGGGGATCAACTCAGACCTTTGCACTTGCCAGGGAAGTGCTTATTCTACTGAGCCATCTCCCCAGCCCCAAATAATGAATTAACTCTTTTTTTTTTTTCGGAACTGGGGATTGAACTCAGATCCTTGCATTTGCCAGTCAAACGCTTATCCTACGGAGTCATCTCCCCGGCCCTCCAGCCCAGCTTTTGGAAAAATGTTAATCAAAAAACCTAAGGAGATACCATCTGACCCCTATATCCTCTATGCCTAGAATTTAAAAGTCAGCTGACAAGTGTTGACCACAGCGTTCAGATGTGTGAATCTTCTTAAATTACTGCAGGAATGTGAAATGGTACAGCCACTTTGAAAAATAGGCTGACAGTTCCTCAAAACTCTAAACACAGTGTAACAATCTGATCTGGCAGTTCAGCTTGTGTGTGTGTGTGTGTGTGTGTGTGTGTGTGTGTGTGTTGTATATGAGAAACAGAAGTACTGAAAATACAAAACTTTTGGAAGAAAGCATCTTTGTAAAGTCAATGTGGGCAAAAAAAATGAATGAAAAACCATAACATCATGAAATATAAAACAAATACACTTTGAATTTTATCAAAACAAAACTAACACTTCTAAGAAAATAAGAATATAAGAATTTTATTAAGAGGAAACTTTGCAACATATCAGCAAAGGGTTTGTATTCAGAATGTCTCAAAAATTTTTATAACTCAATGACAATTTAATCTAAAAAGTGGCAAAATTTAAACAAAAATAAATGACATATCAATAGCCAGTATGCATGTGAAAAGGTCCTTGCTTTTGAAGTTGTCAAAATCCTGCAATAAAGAAAAAAAGACAGTGACCACATGTTCTTTAGAACAATGGAAATCAAAACAAATGATGATAGCCAAAGAAAGAGAAATACATAACAATTCTAAATATTCCCTGCTGGTAATAACCTGTTACAATTGCATTGAAAAATATTTTGAAATTTTTCTAAATAGTTAAGTATATATTGCCTGGAGTATTCTGCTATTTTATCCCTAAACTATTTACCAAAACAAAATAAAAACATGTACCTACAAATGTATACTCATAAAAGATTTTCAAAAAAAAAAATCTCCACCAGTGAGTGAATCCATAAATAAATTGTGACAAATAAAAATGTTCTTCAACAATAAGAACAGTGAACTATTAAAATATGTAACATGGTTGAATTGGATTAAAAGAAACTGGACATAAAAGCCTTCCAATGACATGATTCCAATTATAGTAAATTCTAAAGATTTCTGATAACCTATAGCATTAGAAACCTTATAGTGACTTTGTAGGTACCATCAGAGAGAAGGGATTACCCGTAAAGGAGCTAGGAATCCTTGGTGTTTGTGGAATCTTTCAGAATTATCATTGTGGTACGTTTATGGGCATACACATATGATAGATTTATTGGTATACAGGTTTAAAGTAATTTTAAATTTAAGACATGTTCTTTATGCTATTACAAACTTGCAAAAGAATATAAAAATTGAATAAGGTGATGTAACCTATTAATTAAAGGTCAACTTCTTCCCAATTATCTCATTTAACTTTTTAGGCAATATTTCTTTTTCTTTTGAATCCTTTATTTTATTTTACTTATTTGGTACAGGGTCTCACTACACAGCTTGGACTCATAATGATCCTTCCGTCTGAGCCTCCCCAGCGCTGGGATTGCAGACGTGCACCACTGCTCCTGGATTCAGAGGCAGGCATGCGTGCATGCTGTCGAACTCAGATCCTTGCGCTTGTCAGGCAGGCGCTTAGACCATGGAGCTGTCTCCCCAGCCCCCAGGTAATATTCTATATTTGCTATATCTGATAGATCTTTAGCCACAGTACATTGTGATATATGCTATTCATAATCTTTTAGGTAATATAGGAAAATGTGAACCCTATAATTCTATAGATTCCATAGGTAATTGAAGTACTACTAAATACTTTTACAAGAACACAATAGACTGGGAAAATGACAACAACAGGTAACCACAGAGACAGTCTTACCTTCTCAATCACAAACAGGCTCTGCTCAGGACATGATGAAAGTCTTCTTGGATTGAAAGAAGTTGAGGCAATATTGGGCCATCTGAAAAGGAAGTCAGGTGAAGCCTCGGAGCCCCACTTCCTGGCTATCTGTGCAGGCCCTCCCTGAGTTACCTCAAGCCAGCATTTCCACAGAGCCCCGGCTGTGCTAGCTTCTTCTTTGACCTCATGTAGCAAAGGCTGTGAATGTGTTGAATCACTCCTCCTAGCAAGTCTGATTTTTGTTTTGTTTTGTTATTTTTCTCTTACCTCACTCCCTCATGCCTCACTCTCCAAATAATTAACCAATAAAGTCAGTGTTGGCTGAGAGGAAGAATCAGAAAACAGAGGACAGTGCCAGTCACATGATCTTCCAGCCAGTAGTCTTTCTGTAGGGCTGCAGGAATCAGGAGGCTCTTCGAACAACTAGTGACCTGTGGATGACATCAAAAACATGGAGAGATAATCAATCAGGAGAGGGATGAATGACTATTCTGATGCGTTTCTGGGTGCTGCAAAAGTTAGGTTCCTAGAAACCCATATTAGCTTTGGTGAGTGCAATTCCAGGCCAGATGGAGTAAGAAGTGGTGTCCTCCATCTTCCCACTTGCCAGCTGGTGCTAGCAAAGTTCTTTGTTCTGTCACTCAATCTCTCCAGATACTGACCTCATCAGACAGCAGTGGAACCAGAAGGTTCACGTTTATAGTCGTGCAAAATGTGAGTTCACCTGAATCTCTCTTAACTCCCTCCTCCCCTTTTCTTTCTCTTCTCTGCTCCCTCCTTATCCTCCATTCTTCTGTCTTTCTTCTTCCTCTTGCTCCTTGCCCTCCTCCTTTTGTTCCTTCTGCTCATAGTCTCTCCCTCATAAACACCTCCCTTCCTTTCTGCTCCTCTCCCTTTCTTCTAACACATTGCCTTCTCATTATATTGTGTAAGGATTAAATTGATCTGTTAAGATACTTAAGTATTTGATCTCTCTTCTCTGATATTCCACCTTTCTGTACTAACATAGGGAGCCTGAAATTTAATTCTGAAAGATGTTGAAAGCCAATAGATATTTTGTGTGTAAGCCACAGAACTATGTGACAGACGTTAGAGTTTTGTAATGTCAATCTGCATGGGATATTATATTGGGAGAGGAAGAGAAAGCTAGGCATAGGAACAGAGTTGGAAAAAGTACTTTAATACTAAAGTACGTCACTTAATGAGAAGACTGCTGAATTCATCGAATCCCTAACTGGTTCAAAGAAGAGAGACTAATCCTAGACTCAGGGAAGAGACAGAATTTGTGTGCTGTTGAGTTAAGAAGTGGAAAGTGCATACTTTATGATGCTGTCTGAGAGACTATTATGCTCCTGCCTTGGGTTCTGGTTGATAGAGAAATACCAGTCATAGAATCCTGAATGGATGATCGCTACATACATGATGATGTGTGTGGATGTGGATAGACCTATTTGGAACTATATGTAGAACTGTAAGTGGGTACGTCCATGAGAAAGGTGAATATTTAGATCAATAGCTGAACGAACTTTCAGCTAGAGCCATAAGTAGGGAAACACTGAGCACATTGATGACAGTAAAAGCCAAGGGATGGGATGAGGTCACCTACTGTCCTCTCATGAACAAAGCAAAGGGGTAGCAAGCATGGTTGCCTGGAACAGTGGGGTTGAATGGTTACTGAAAGAAGAGTACACAAGAATCAGAGGAGAATCGGAGAAGCAGGAGGGAAGTCAGAGAGTCACCTAAGCTGAGAAAAGAAAAAAATCAGGAAGACGAGCTACCACTACTTTCAGGTATCAATTTTGCACTCCTGCGTTTCAGGTGAGGCAGCGCAAGGGCTCAGTTCACAGAAGTGAAGACTGCTGTGCCCGATTACAGCAGAAGTGAGAGCAGAGTTGAGTGTGAAGGTGCATCATATATAAAATTGAGTAGATTTAATTGTTGTGGCTTGAGAGGTAAGAATTAGAATCAACATGTAGGAGACCCAAAGAGAACAAATGAAGGGAGATGCAATCCTTTGGGGTGTGTGGAATTACTCAAAGATAAGCATGAGTAGGAGGTTGGAGGGGAAGTTCCCAGTCCAAGAAGGATCTGCGAATGCAGTCATACATTTGGAAGCACTTAGTAAACAGTGGGTTGAATCATATGTTCTTGACAATGTGAAATCATTTTTAAACAACAGAAAGGATTGTGTTATATATGTATGTAATCACAGCACTGTGGGAGGCTGAGGCAAGAATTGGCAAGATTAAACCCAGCTAAGACAATTTACTCCCTTAGGCAGACATTGTCTCAAAATAAAAAGAGGGAGGTGCAGGGAATGTAGGTCAGTGCAAAGTCCAGAGCTCACTCTCTAGTACCAAAAAAAAAAAAAAAAAAAAAAAAAGATAATTTCACATGGTTTAGTCATATAAATCAAATATATAGTGACTGAACAAATAAATGTATGTATTAGAGCAGGAAGTCTTATTGATTTTCAGTGGATAAAAAGATAGCTAATTTTAAAGAAATTTGATTCTAAAAAGACTAAGGGAAATGAAAACAGGAAGTGACCACAAAAGCAGAATAATGCTTTCTTATTTCATTTGAAAAAGAAAGGACTTATCTTCCAATTTGTTTTCTGTTGACTTTTATCATCCGTTTATAATGTTAAGTCTTAGAGAAGGAAATAAATTGCTAGTTGTTGTTTTTTTTAATGATTCTGAGTTCCCATGAATATAATTTTCTTGTGTTGTTGCTGGGGAGACATAAATGTCACTACAAGTGCAATTTTTTGTTCTTATTTTGATTTCCATTGACTAAGTCTTTCCGTTTTCAGCCACTTAGTGTCACCCTATCACAACCCAAATTATAGTCTAAATTACAAAGATGAAGTACTCGTTCCCCGAGCCACAGTGGAGCACAGACTCCATGGAGCAGAAATTGTTCCCTCGGGCATGCACTAGTCAATCTTTCATTTTCTTTCACATTCCTCATTCAAGAGAATTTCTGGCAACACTATGTGACAGGAAAATGAAGAGTTTGCTTCACGATGTGTTTATATTGATTGCCGGAAATATTTTAAAACTTATTTCTGGAATTTGATCAATCACTCACGCATGTAACATCCAAATGGAAGCTGTGTAAACACGTGTGACTAATTACTGACAATACCTGGGAGCACGTGCAGCCAGGCTGTTCAGTTGATAAAGGCAAGTTCTTCACTTGACATTTTATCCCGAGTCATCTCTAGATGACATTCTAAGTAATAATTTCATTTCATGAAGAAAAGGTCTGGCCTATTCTCTTTATTCTGATATTCAAAGTTGCTATAACCTGTCCTGCCATCCCTGATTCAGTCATTCACACTAGGAATTCTGGATGCCTGTCCTAATAAAATCTTTTAGATTATTCGCTGCATTTCCTGTTCATTCTGTTCTGTCCACCAGTACCATTTACTCCATGGGACCCTCTTTAAAACGGACACAACATGCTGAGCATGAAATGTGCACAGCGAACAAGTTTTGCAATCCTCTGGTTAATATTCCACAACTGTGGAGAAACTCTTCCTGTCACACCTTGCAAAGAATGTTTTCTCCCATATCTCACTGGGCAGAAGTAGGTACACAAAAACTAATACCATACCTTAAATAATTATTAGCGAAGAGTGTGAATAGCTCCCACTCATCGATACTAGAGCCACCCACTTGCATATATCCTAAGCCTCACAAAAGAAGAAAAAAGTAGTTCAATAAAAACAGGGTCATAAACAGAGGGCAGCAGGCAATCATCACTGTGTTCAGTACTTTCCAAGGTTCCATTGATTACGGTCTCTTTAAATTCAAAATACATTTTCTTTATACTTTTATTAAAGAAAACCTATTTCAGTCTTCCCTGTATGTGGCATCAGGAGCAGACTTCATATTTTATTCTGTATCTTTAGGAACTGGCATACCGTGGGTGCCAGCAAAGCGCCATGGAAACAAATTTCCTTAGAGTGACTGTCACTTGTATTCTTGAATAACAGAGCGATTGTGTATACCCCATGTCTAGCAGAAAATAAGTGGAGGTTAGAGCGAAAAGAGGAGCATCTCAGTATTCAGACTCTAAGCAAGCAGGTCCTTTCCGCTTCTAATTTCTCCTTTGTCATTTCCTACCTCTATGAATTTTTGAACATTACGTAAGGTTCATAGTTGTATTTTGTGCCCCTCTAAGACAGAATGGTTGCAAGCATGTAACTTACGGCAAAGGCTTAAATGAATCAGTGCTGGTAAATGCTAGCTTCAGTTAGTATCTATGAACTGTTCAAATCAGAAGGTAATGACTATTTGGGCCACGGTAGGATTTGGAAGCAAAATAACCTATCTGGAATTCGTAATTTCTCCACCAGGCAAATAGTCAATTTCCATAATGACAGGTAAAGCGAGGAAGTCACAGTTGGCCTTTACTAACTGCGTTGAAAACAGAAAAATTGATAACTCTAAATTTTTCCATTACCACTTCTGGATTTAAAGTAACAAAATAGCTCAAGAGCAGTTTTTGATTATTCTTTTTAAGAGAAACACTGACTCTCAGCTTTGTGTGAGAAGACAGAGAAATCAGTACAACAAATTGAAGTGGGGACGGAAGTAACGTGAGATGAAAAAGAAAAGGTGAATTTATCCCTCATGAAGCCATAAAGGTGTGGGCAATGTTTTGCAAAGTCCAGTTTTGGAGTTTGAAATATAAAGTTTTAATATTTGAGAAGAAAGAAAGAAAATTCTACTGAAATTTGTGCCCAGAGCTAAGATGTAGAGTTTAATAATATCTGTCACATTATATTGAGTAGAGCAATAAATTCAGCTATTCAGCAACTGCAATGTTTAAGCAATGGTTTTTTAAAACACAACTAGAGTTTGTAATTTTTCAGGAATTCAATCATGTTCTGAGTTAATAAAACACTTCTACCCCCACACACGTCAAGCCTGAGCATGACTTGTCAATTATTACCATACGCAGTGGCCCTGATAGCAAATGTTTAACTTGAAGTTATGTCAGAACAGTTTGCAAAGTGATCTAATTTGTGTTAAATCTGTAAGGGACTACATGTAATGCTTCACTTTGGACATGGCCTGTTAGTTGCCAGTACAATCTGGTAATGAATGTGGAACAAACCAATGTCAAGATTTTCCATTCAGAATGCCACAGGGACCCTATCTCCCAAACTTGGTTTTAAATCCTCCTAATTGTGATCCCTGTGAAGCAACTTTACAATTTGCTTTTATCTGGCTGACACATTCTTAATCTCAAATATCACTAACTTCATCAAACTGCAGCAAAGGTGACCTACCATTTATGCTTACGTCTCCCCCTCTCTCATCTAGAAGATGACTTTCTTGGAGAAGGTTTGGTTTTGAGCTCCCAGTCTCTAGCTCAGAAGAAGAAGGAGGAGGAGGAGGAGAAAAACAAAAACATAATCCATGCAGTATTATAAATAAGCATTTCCAAAATTCTCCTAAATGTTTAAATTATAGAAGAGAAGAAGTTCTGGCTGGGGAGAAGATTGCTACAATGTCAACTATAGTGGTCAGGGAAAACTTCATTGAGCATATGGCGTTTTACCAAAGGTCTGAAAAAGAAGAGGCAGTGGTAAGCCTTAGAAATACAGGGAAAGGTGATTTTCAAACAGTGGAAAGAGCAAATGCAAAGCCCCCAATGCGAAAGAATGATTGAGATATTCATGAGAAAGCAAGGAGGCC